ACACACACACACACACACACACACACACACACACACACACCTCTCTGAGGAATGACGAAATGGACTGCTTTGCTTCGGTAACAGCAGAGTCTGTAGCAAAAAAAGATGAAACTGGAGCAAGTTTAAAAAAGAAAGATTAAAGGTTTCCTAAAACAGTTTGTATGAGGGGATACAAAAACTGCTTGTTTCACTCAGAAACCTCTGTTTGTTAGCAAACACTGCCGATTGCCTTAAGCTGGTTTCAATATCTAACAAACCTGAACCACCAGAGCAACACCTGCTTACGTCGAGGCCTTTTCCCTGAAAAAGCCAATATCTGCAGCTCGGGGCACCCGACCTACTTCTGGCATTGTCAGCAAAACGCAGCCGTTAAACAGGAGAAAGTAATTAATCTCACACAGGGATGTGAGTATTCTTCACATTGTCTCTTTGGCTTTGACAGACCCCATTTAGAAGCTATTGTAAGTGAGATATTTAGCACAGTGCCTATGGGACATGTGGCCGCATCCACCATAAGCCTGTCAGTTGTTTCAGAATCAGTGTGTGTTTAAGTGAGGGCTGAATGCTCTGAGATAAGTGGGATGATGCAAAGCTTCTTACAAGGCAATGGCAGAATCCACAGTCTTCTGTGGCTTGATGATAGTGATGGAAACATATGGCAACTCAATGGGAGACCAGTTAAAAAGCTGCCAAAAAAGCTCAACGCTGAGTATGTAAGACTGGAGGGTTTTTTGAGCTGTAGTCTTGTGGACGTTGCGGCACTTCCTTGCCAACAGTTAGATGAAAAGGTCGATATCTCTCATTTGTATGGTGAAGCCGGAGCCAAATTAGCTTACCTTGGCATAAAGACGGAAACGGAGGAAACGGCTATCCTGCGTCCATTAATGAAAAATGCAAACAGTGACTTCCAAGTAATATTAGCTGCATTTCCACCACAAGAACTTCCCCTGGAACTGGGAACCTTTGCAGGAACTCTGTGCTTTTCAACCACAGGGACCAGGAACTTAATTAAGTTCCAGATACCCACCAAAAAGTCCCTGCCTGGTGGGATAGTGCTTCACAAATGTATAAAAACTTTAGAGGTGGTAGTTATAGCACTCAGGAAGCCTCATTGGTCAAGCGTTTAAGCACTTTCAGCTGGTAAATAGCTTGTAAAAATTACTTTGAGTCTAGCTTTTTGCTACTTTGAATACACTTTGTAACCAGTGCTGATCTCTTTTACGATCTACAGCAGTGAGATTTCAATCTCCTCCATGTTTACTGTAGTTGTTGTAGTATTGTAGGTTGTTCATATGTAAGACCGTTGTGTGGACTGTTGTAGGTCAGTGGGCAGAGCCAAGCTAGTTGTTTCCCCTGTTTCCAGTCTTTATGCGATGCTAAGCTAACCCCTCTTCCTTTAGTCTATTGGCTATTCCTGTCTTTGAGCAACCTTGTCTGGCATCTTTTTTCAATGCACAATTCTCCTCCTGCAGGCTACCACTAGAAATCCTTATTTCGTCTTGGTTTTTATGGCTAAATAGAAACATCAAAGTCAACAGATATCCCTTTATCCAATCCACACGTATCCGCATGCTGTCATGGCTACTACTTGGACCTTAGTACTAAGAGGAAACGTATAAAACAGCATCCTGCATATAGCAACCTAGAACAAAGACCCTCAGCAAATACACTAGAGCCTTTCAGACAGTATTGACACAATACAGTTTAACGTACAGTCTGTCTCCATTGCCGAATTTAAATAGACTGTACCACAGTTCAGCTCCTCAGCCGCTGCGACACAAACAGCCTGGTGTGGCTTCAGCTCCCTTTGTCAGCCTGTGGGTTGCCGTTGTCTAGGTGCCATACAGTCCACAGGAGATGATTGAGTCAAACCTCCAGACTCCCGGGGCACGTCTCAGGGGGGTAACTACCTCTCAGCTTTCATAACTATTTACATATCAAACACTTCACCTGGGGAGGACAAGGTTATGGTTCAGATAGCTACATTGGATCAACAGTCTCTATAAGCTGCAGCATTTTACACACAGACACACACCTCTCCCTCTCCAGGAGTGTTGCATACTATCCACCAGACTAATGGCTTTACAATTGCCTCATTGCAGATTCTCTGTGTTAATGAAGGTGCAGTAACTCAACGACACCCTCCTCCCCCCATACTGTACATTTCCACAGAGAAAGTAATGACATACTGAGTTTCTGTACTGCGTTCTCCGGTGTCTGTCTACTGGACAGAATTCAAGCAGAGATTATAGTTGTGGGGTTTGGTGGTTTTGTTTAACTCTTAGAATTAGTCATGTGGACAAGATGCACACACAAACACAAACACACACTTTGTCTGAGGCGTTTCTTACAGAATCCCTCATGGAGCTGCCACTGCCATTCTGCGATCAAATGCTGGAGACAAGGGGATTATTGCAAACATACACACACTGCTGACCAACTCTGTCCACACAGACAACACAGACGCAGTCTGCCACACAAAGCACACACGGAATAGCTCATGATTTGCATTAAATTAATTAAAATGATCTCAATATTCTTTCATGCCCTCTTTGCTAAGTTCGAATGTACAGCAACAGTGTCGTGGCATCAGAGATGGGTTCGTTTAAAGTCAGATTTTTCACTTCAGCACCAAATCAATACACCATTACCACAATCTCAGGTCCTGTCTTTGCCTGTCCCACCTGTAAAGCTGCAGGTTGCTGCGATCACACTGAAACAAATGCACTCATTTGCTGCTTATTGGTCAGCTCTGACTGTTTCTGCATTTTATTCCCCTCATCCATCAATTTCATTCAAGTTCATTTTCAGCCTGAGCGCCCTCCCCTTATTTGGCGGAGCATATTTGCCTCAAATGGAAAAATGTATCAAGAGCATACAGGAGAATAAAGTGTTCTTACCATTCATGGCTGCAGGTAGAGAGCGTAGGCAGAGAGGGAAGTCCTCTACTCAGCTGGCTAGCTCTCAGACATCTGCAGAGAAAGAGAGAGAAAGATGTGAGTGTTATTGTGCGAGTTTGTGTGTGTGTGTGTGTGTGTGTGTGTGTGTGTGTGTTTGTCGCCAGCATGCATGTGTGTAAAAATGGGAACAGAAAAGACTGAAATGCACACAAGAGCAAGACAAGAAAAAAAAATCTCATCTCTGTTAACAATGCAAGGGAAGGCACAGTCAGCGGCGAACACACTGAGGGCTGACAAAAAAAGAGTGAGGGATGGACAGAGGAGGTGGAAATAAAGAGAGAGAGGGGGGGGTGGAAGAGAAAGGGAGAGGAGAGGGTGTGGAGAAAAGCAGAGATACAGACAATGCAGACGGAGAGATGTAGGCAAGAGGAGGACAGACTGTGGAGGAGAAATGATGGTGGTCAGGGAGGAACGTAGCTTTCATCCCAGTGCTCTCATATCACAGACAGCAGCTCCAGCCAAAGATCTTCTCTAATCTTAGTGCCTCTTTATTTCTACACTGAATCATTTGTGTTTTTTTCCAGTTTTTTCTTTATGAAGATAGAATATAGGTATTTGTTGTGTTGGGTGATATAAATATGTGTATTTTTGAAAAATGTTAAATGTTTAGTTGTCGTAAATATGTGTTATTATTCATATATTCATTCATTCATTTGTCTTATTAAGGACATAAATATGTTAATTTCTAGTAGGACAATATTGCTAATTTATCGCACACATTAGATACGAATATTTTGTTGTTAATTTATTGGGGATATAAATATACATTTTAATTAGGAATATATAGTATATATTTGCCATATTATAATTTTCCATTCTTAGATTGAATATACATATATTGGAAACATAACATTTTTGTTTATATTAGGAATATAAATGTTTATCTTATTATAATATAAATATGCTTGTCTGAGTAGGAATATTTTAGTCTAAAATACAGATACTTATGTAGATAGGGTTATAAATATCTGTCTTATTATAAGGAATATAAACACTTTTCTTGAGAATATAAACTTCCATTCATTTTTTAGTGCTATAAATATGATAAATATAAAAAGTTATAAATCAGCATTTTACTTTACACTGTATATTCCCAAATGATTACACACACTGAGATAACATGGACAAAATGAAAATGCATGCATTAATTGAGTGCAGTCTACAGACACAGTGAGCTACAAGGAGCTGATAAGATTCCTCTTTTGGATTATTGTAGGTCTCCGGGAGCCGTGGAGGACAGACGTCATTTCATGTCTTCTTGATTTGTCTTTCTAATAATCCTCTTCCTTTGCTGTGCTGTTGTTTGTGATTCATTTTCAGTTCAATCGCTCTGGAAATTCACTACACATTCTTGATCGCTCATGCTTGATACATCTTCAAATTGAATATCTTGCCTTTCTCTATAGAGGGAATTTTCCTCCCTTTTCACACAATAGGCTCTATATCTATCCATCCATCTATCCATCTATCCATTCATCCATCTTTAGCTGTAGATAACCAGCAAGGTTATTCTCAGCTCTGATTGCCCTTAGCTCCAAGAAATCTCTGCTTTCACCAAATCACTCCTTCATGTTTTTCACCTCACTCCCCACTCTATCCTCCTCTATTTCAGCTCCTGTATTTGTTATTCATCCCTCATTGGAACTTGCATCCCCTCTTATAGGATTCACACCCGATTCCTTTTAACTCTCGTGTCGGTCCAGATACACAATGCACCATCACCGGCTGCCCTCTCCTCGTATGAATTCCTGGAGGGGAGACTTGTGGTGGCTGTAGTATAAATCATTCCCTGTTCAAGCTGAAGCTGCCAATTACTTCAGAGCAATGGACTGTGGCGTACGCCTGTGCATGCACTCGAATATTTGCAAGCACACACATATATACAACATGAGCAATAAACAACACACACAAACAAGCGAACAATGACACCTCCATGTTCAAAACCATAAATCCATCATGAGAAAATCACATGACATTACAAAGAAAGGAAGCTGTGACACAATTAAAATCTTGTAAATCATATTAAAGTAACAGTTAACTGTGTATTTATCCAGATTCATGAATCACTGCATCATAGACGGGGTTTTAAAAACTGTATCCACCCTAAATTCTTGTGAAATGAGACAAACTAATCTCAATCTTGCTGCATGTGTTCTGAGTGTGGAACTGTATCGACTATATTGTGCCCTCAAATACCACAAAAAAAATTGTGTCTGCCAAGAATCCCACAATGCAATGCTCCAAATTATATGCAGGAATTACCTTTCGAGTGACTTTAAATCTGACAGTGATGGTAAGTAATTGCCTAAAATGTGAAATCACTGTAAAAGATTTTCTTTTATATGATTGATTGTCAGCCAACCTAGCTGAAATGCAACAATACAATGCAATGCAATATAATACAGCTGACCTACATCAAGTCCTGGCTCCATGACAGATGTTCAGCTTAACAATTCAACTTTGTGGTCATTTTCGAGGATGTGATTTGTGGTGCTGTCAAACTGTGTTGCATTACAGGGACAAGGGTGATTCTGTTACTTTGATGACCCAACCAACAGGAAGTGCAGCTCATCAAGGCCCAACAGTCCCCGTAAATTCAATCAAGCTGCAGCAAATTTCACACACTCAGATATCAGTTGCCTCAACGTGCCTGATTTTTATAATCAAGATCCATGAATTATTCTGTGGGAAGATGCTGAAAATGTTCAAAAACTCCTGATTGACAATGTTAGAGAGAGTGAGTTACTGCATCCTTCCACCAAGTTTTGTGGAAACCTGTTCAGTTGCTTTTATGTCATTTTGCTTACAACCAAACAAACCAACTGGGGTGAAACCATAGCCTCCTTTGTGGAGGCATCAATAGTGCAGCGGAGGTAAACAGAAAATCACGCAGACAAGTGTCAGGAGCAAGTTGATATTTTCAGTAAATATCAGAATGCAGATTTAACAGATAAATCGCAGCAGGTATGACTGAGGTCTGAGTGTTTTCTGTTTTCTCAGTGCAGAGCAGCAGTTCGATGGAAACACCTTGTTGATGATCTGACGTGTAGCCGACAGAGGAGGCTATGGTAGCTAAGGAAACCAAAAATCAACAAATCGTATCTAATAGAATTTGATATTTGCAGCATTAAACATTATAGCAGACTCTCAAAGGAAAGTTTAGAAACTAGACCTGAAGCTGTTTTAAGAGCAAATGGAGGAACTACCAAATATTAGTATGCTCCTAATAAAGTGATCACATGAAGCTAAGTAGATATTGACAGACTATTCATCATTTGGTGAACATGTTCCTTTATGTCTGAGCTTTGCAGGTACAGTATGTGTATTTACTGAATGCGTACTGCTTACATTCCTTTCAGCAAACACTAGGTAAGATCCGCCCTCATAATCAAACACTTTTGCACCCTGAGGTGTGTGTGTGTGGCTTCAAATACAAGCTAGAGTTACCTATTGGCTTTGTTGTTCAAACAGGACACATCCTGGATGAAGAGCAACACAACAAGTCACAGAGGACGTCAACACTGAGTCCACCACCATCTCTACAGGTGCTCAATACACTCATGATTCCAAAAATGCCCAAGGAGAGCTCGGAGGAAAGTGAGCATCTCTGAAATCTCATTACCTGTTCCTGATTTGATTTCTCTTGTTGCTCACTCTGGCCCGATATGACAGCTGTAATGTTGCAGAGCGATAGTGGAAGAAATCAATTGCACAATGCAGACAGCTCACACCAAACATCTAAATGCTACTTCAAGTGAAGTCAGCCCTGATCCAACTTCTGAACAGCATTCTAATTAGACAAAAAACTATATAAGAAAAAAATGTTTAATTTTTTCATTTCAGTTTTAAATATGTGGTTGTATTTGTTGTTATTATTATCAACCATAAGGCTGGAATTGGTCGACCATCCATCTCTGATGTTGCTCCCTGTTGCAGTTGCAGCCACCAAAGTGAAGTATCCCCCGACATAGACGGTGTATTGATGTGGAGAAACGCTACACGTAGCACTTTTCAAGTTTCTGATTGGAGGAACAGTGTGAGTCACTATCTGGGCCAGGGGTTTACTGACCCACAGCACCGAGCGAGAAAATGAATCAAAGAACCTTTGACTCTGCCGTGCATGCTGATTGACACCTGTGTGCACCGAGTCGGATGTGCATATCAATGCATCGGCCTGTGTGTGTGTGTGGGTGTGTCTCTCACACACACACACACACACACACACACACACACACACACACACACACACACACACACACACACACACACAGAGGGGCACCCTGTTCTGGCAGACACAGCCCAGGAAGCTTTGCTGAGCCCGAGGAGGAAGAAAGAAGCCTGTGTGTGTGTGTGCTTATATTTTCCTGCTCATTCACAACAGCACAGAGGCACACACACACACAGCACACACACTCACACATACATACACACACACACCTTCCTGTGTTCTGCTGCAGGTGAAAATCAGGACGCTTCCACCTGAAAGAATTATTCTTATATTCATCCTTTTTATGTGGGTCACCTCGAGCAATGATACTCTCTCTGTACTCCCCTCCCCCAACTTTTAAAACGCACACTCAGCAGCATGCCCGACCTCAGAGTCTCTTACCTGTGTCACTTTGGCACAAGAATTTCAGTCTCGACTCCAAAAATAAAACTGTCACAGACACATTCATCTCCATGAAGCTTTGACTGTCACGTGAAAACCTTTGGCTCCCACTTCCAGTATGAAGATGATAGTTTGTGTGTGTGTGTGTGTGTGTGTGTGTGTGTGTGTGTGTGTCTATGTGTTACGTAATTCTTTGTTTCTTGGCAGGTGGATATGCAACAGTCCCTGGGATCAGGCCAGGTGCCATATGAACTACAGTTTAAATGGACTTTGCCACTTCAGCAAAGAAAGCCTCCTCCTTCTATTTTCACTGAGAGCAGCAGAACACACACACACAAAGCAATCTCTATAATTAGTCTATACTGCAGTGAATAAACACGAGCATATAAACAGCTACACCGGTAGTCCCAGACGAGAATATACAACTGACAATACTTTTCCACAGCAAACACTTTAGAACTGGGTGCAGTGAGATAACAACTACATGTGATCATGCTTCGGTTATATTTTCCATGCTATAAAGAGATATGTGAGTATTAGCTGTGAATATACTGAATGTGTGAGTGTCAGTCTGAGTGTACCTTTGTAAATGTTTTTCTGGGAAAAGTAGGAATAACATCTGGCGTTATTTTCTAAGGCAAAAAAACAACATGGATACACACGTCTGCTTTATAATCCACACATTGTGATATTGTCTTGACAACACAGAGGAAATGAGTTGCCCACCTCCCTTGATTTGGCACTTATGATACATTTCTCTTTAATTTAAGTCAGACTAGTTATGCATTTAATTAAAATACATTTACACAAAATGAGAAACACAATTCTATCCTGAAAACCCTTTTTTTTGTCTCGAAGGTTGATCTATAACCGAATAGAAGACACCAGGCTAATCCTCACTGAGGCAGCTTCAGGATCCCCATGCATTTTAAGGGCAGTCAAACACTGATCACATCTTGAGCTGCAGCCAGTGGAGCCCCAGTGTTCGTGCCGCTGCGCTGAGTGAAGGTGATGGTTTCATAAAGCTGCACACTTACCTGCATTTAGTCCTGATCTGAGCCACGTTCACATGGAGTCTGTTCATTTACCTGTTGTAGTGGAGAAGCTGAGATCCGACATCCAGGCTGGAGGACCACCTCACTGCTTCTGCTGCTGCTGCTGAGGAGGAGGAGGAGGGAGAGGAGGAAGAGGAGGAAGAGGAGGAGAGGATCCTGCAGCCGGGGAGGTGTGCACTGGGAATGGGCGTGTCTCTCTCTAGACAGGGAGTCAAGCTGCACATTGCTACATACAGCACTGCTGGCTGTCTTTTTCAAAATAAGACTCACCCAGGCTCCTGCCAAAGCAACATTGTGATAGATAGATAGATGGATGATAGATAGATAGTTGGATAGATGGATGGATGGATGATAGATAGATGGATGGATGGATGATAGATAAATGGATAGATGGATGATAGATAGATGGATAGATGGATGGACGGACGGATTGATGGATGATGAATGATAAATAGATAGACTGACAGGCAGATGGACGGACGAATGGATGGATAGATAGATAGATTGATAGATAGATAGATAGATAGATAGATAGATGGATAGATGGATAGATAGATAAATAGATGGATAGATAGATGATAGATAGATGATAGATAGATAGATGGATAGATAGATAGATATATAGCTACTTTATTGATCCCAAGAGGGAAATATAGGCATATAGTAGCACACACAACAGTGTAAGAATAAAAAAGGTCAAGAATAAGTATACTGATGAAAGTGTAGCCACCAGAACTACTACATTATGTGCTAATGGAGATATTGACAATACAAATATTTTAAGTATGAGGTGATTGAATGATACAAGTAACCGAGTATTGAAGCCAAATATAAATACAGATTTAAAGATATATACAAAGTTGTGCATTAGACTAACAGAGCCTGTAAAAATGATGGTGCAGCAGATGTACGTGGATTTAAAAAAAGTTCAAACAGTGCAAGAGTAAAACTTAAAATACAAGACTAGATCTATTAAAAAATATAAGATCAGAGAAGATAAACATCGGCAGTAATGGTCTGCCACTGAACTACTGCTCTGCCTGGTGCTGTCAGGGGTGGTCTGTATTATCCAAAACTTTCATATGTTCAGATTGATTTGATAGGATGGAACCAACCAACCTGCCACATTCTATCCAATCAAATATCTTCTTTCCCCTGTACTTAAGGCTTTTATTTTGAAGGCACGTTCACTTATCTCAACATCAGAGGCTTTGTTGATGTTTGTGTGTTTGCTGAGACAGGTGTGATCCATAGATTCCCGTTGGACCTGAAAAGTCTAAGTCAAAGTCCAAATGTGTTGAGTCAAATCTGCATCATTTCCTCTTTTCTTATCTGATGTTTGACTTCCTCCAAGATTTCTCAGTATTTAATTGCATCTCCCTGGTTTACCGGTATTTATATATACATATATGTACATACATATATATGTACGTATAGACTAAAAAGCATTTCCTGTCCTTTAGAAGTATGAGGAAGGTTTCTGGTCTGGAGCTCCACCATCAGTCCAGTTTCAATATTACACCTGGTAAAGTAGATATGTGGCTGTTGTCCATAACCATCAACAACTAAAAATTCCAAAGTATAAAATGTTGGAAAACACTTTAAGGTTTAATTGAATGGAAAATATTAACAATATGGATATTTATAAAATAATTTCAAGTTATTCTAAAGCATAATACTCAACATCAGCATGTCCAAGTTTTTCTATGAAATTAAATGGTATTTTATAGTGTAGAGGAAGACTCCTTATGAATGTTAACAAAATAGGGGCAAGACAACATGTTCTAAAAAATATATATAAAGAGACAATACTGTAGTTCATTGAGACACTGTTAGTTATCAGCATAAGAAAAAATGAAAATGAATCTAAACTTTGCCACTAGAGTTTATTTCAGAACAGAAAACAATGGAGCCACTTAAATGCAATGAATCTCATTCAATCACAATCAAGAGGAACTTAAATATTTCACTCAGTTGAATTAATCAGAAAAAACCCATTCCATAAACTATAGTAAATTAGGTTTCCAGTTCAGAAAGGCCTTTGAGACAGAGTGCAAATATTAAATCTACATTGGGTGAATTGATTTGTCAAAAGTCTTCATTCTTCTATGGATGCTGAGCTACGAGAGGCTGTGTAATGTTGGTATCGTGAAACCTTTTGATTTAAGTTATTTATAAGTTATGTATGTGTTTTTATGTCTGAGAGGAAACCAAACTTAAAATATTACATAACATTGCAGCTCATTTACGCAAAGATTCAGCATCATGTAGCTGAAACGTGAAAATTTACAATTTTCTTCAATCTGTATCTGCAGCCTGTAGTGTCAGTTCTGGTGGGTGGATGCTCAGAAGGCTCTGAAAAGCTGGTTCGGCATGTATCCTAAGTGCAGGAAGGAAGACTGGGCTTCTCTCTCGAGGTTTGCCAGTTCCTGGACAGTTGGAGCGAGCATGTCCACATGACCCTTGTAGTTTCCACCTACAGAGGAGCAACAGGTTGATGGTCAATCTCAACACAACTACATGAATAATATTATCTAGAGCTTTTAAAAAACTAACCAACTTAAAAAAATTAAAATACACATTGTAATCACATTTATATGAAAACAGAAAATGCAATAATGTCATGCTATAATAATGAATGTCTGTAACCATGGTGTCGGACTATGCATCTCTTTACAATTGATATTCAGCTGCTATTCTTGCAGTTAAGTGATGTAACACGTCATGTAACAGTTCTCATACCTCCCAGTGCTCTGCGCTGACCATACATGACCTTCCCATCGAACTCATCCAAAGGTACTTTAATGTCCGCCTCACACTGGGTGATGGTGCACTTCAGGTGCTCCTCAATGTCTGACAGGAGCTGTGATCAGGAGGAACAAGGGGAAAATGTCACAACGAGGATTGAGAGTGCACAATGAGTGTGTAATGACATCATGTAAGCCGCTTTCAGACATGAACTTCAGAAAGTGTCCACTTTGGACTTTTCCTAGAATTTGTCTTTCACATATATAGATCGCAGCAAAACAGGAACAGGAAAATGTCGGGGGCATTCAGACAAGGGGTGGCATCTGGGCAGAGCACGCGAGAGGCAGGACATGAAGTAAAGCTTCTGTGGCAGAATCTTATATTTTTGTTGACATCACATCAACACCGGCGTCAGTTCTTATCATCTAAAAGCGCTCGAATCTCGGTGTCTCATTGATTATTCCTTCCCTTCTACGTGCATGACTCATCTTTTTCATCATCAGATCAGATTGTCCAGAGCAACTGCTGGCAAGACTTTCACCATGAATCCATACAGATCATTTACCCTTCAAACCCCAGAGTGCTGTTTCTGCCAGGGTGACAAATTCATCGGTTGCCTATCAAATCACTTGAACAGCTCTGTGCTGAAGCTGAGATGGAGCCGTACGTCAAAACACAATATGTAACTTGCTGCCTCAGCTTGATGACGTTTCTGCCTGCATCCTTCTTCACCTCTTTCTCGTTGTACCAGATGGTGCAACCGCCATCCTCCTTCAGTCGGGTGTTGTAGCAGCCTCTGCCTCGGTTGGCACAAACGTGGTACCACACCTGCACACATGGACAGATGTACCGACGAGGCAATCATTTTTAAAATCTATGTTTACTTCAAATCTGTACTTCTACCATTCAACCTACCTTCTCTTTTTCCATAGCAACTAAAGAGATGGCCAGTCCCATTCTGTGGGTTGAAGAGAAATTCAAATATTAATACTATCATTCATTATCTGTCCCTTGAATCGTATTATGACAAAAGAGATTTTAAAAACCGCACAATGAGACAATAATGAAAATAATGATTTCAACTCAGATTTACCTCTCAGCTCTTCCAACTCTGCCGATGCGATGGACATAGTTCTGCTTCTCATCTGGCAGCGTGACGTTAATCACTGGAGAAAAAAAAGATGAATGTTGAACTAGTGGCAGAGAGGACTCAAAGAAAGATATATAAGCATTTGAAAAGGTATGTAGAATAAGAGGTTTTGATTTTTATTCAGAAAGTCTAAAGCATTTCTCTTACCATAAGGAACTCCGTGGATGTCAATTCCTCTGGCGGCTACATCTGTGCAGATCAGAAGTCTCACCTCTTTTTTCTGAAAAAAATACAAAGATAACTTAAAATACAGGAAAGCTGGTGAAACTTTGTCAAAGAGTGCCGGTGAGTTTTCGTTCTTTCACCTTGAAACGCTCCAAGTTATTCTTCCGCTCATGAGGCTTGCGATCGCCATGGAGACAAACACAAGAAAACTGGCTTTTACTGTCTGGACCTGACGAAAAAGAATTTATGAAAGGAAAGTCATTACAACATTATTTTATTGTCAAGTGTAAACTTGTACAAAGTACAAAGTAAAGACAAAGCTTCTGTTCAGACCTGGTGTCAACATCTGTCTCTGGTGATCTGATAACAAGTGGACCGACCACGTGTTCCAGACCATCCCTAAATAGCACTACTGCCTCCTACCTCCTCCTTGCTGGATGAAGTACTGCTCCATGTTGTCACAGTCGATCTTGGTGCGACAGAAGATTATGGCCTGGTCCATCTTGTGCTCTTTGATAGCGCGCACCGCGTACTCGCCCTTCAGAACCTTGATTGCCTCGGACCACATTTCTAAAACACAAAGGCTCAATGAACGATCAACATTTTTATTTACATCTCAACTTAACTCCGTTTGAGGAACACTTAACAGAAGATGTTGTTCAAAGGCTTGATGTTGAAGTTTGTATTAAAGTGATACAATCAAATCTGCTGCTTATCTGCTCTTACCTGCAGAATTGGCTCCTGGTCTGGTATTATCTTTGGCGTGGACTTCATCAGTCTGACGGCAGAAATCAAAGAAGTAAGGCTGTGTCAACACATTCATCTGCAGCAGCAGGAAGAGAACACACAAGCTCGTGGCACTTACCCGGATGTGATTCTTTCCCAGTCGCTCCCACAGACGATCGTTCTTAGGATTGACAGGCACCACCACGTGATGGACCGTCTCTGGAACAGAGTCCTCGCCCTTCAGGTCCACCCAGGTGGGGAAGTGCATGATGCGCTCGGACAACTTCTTCACGTCAAAGGAATGCAGAGTGGCGGAGCACACGATCACCTGGGGAAACAGCTTAAAGTTAGAAAATGAAACACACTCTTGGGATTTCTGTTACTACGATAACATATTTAGATTAATGTGCAACTTTGTTAACTGGCCAGACAGCGTTGTTTAATATTCATCTAAACCATCTGTAGCTCCCAGTTAAAACCATGGAAAATGGAGCAGAGCTACTTTTGGGAATTATACACAGTTAAATACTTTCCTAAGTTGTCACTGAAATGATTTTTGTGACACGTGCAACTTCATCTTCAGTGTTACCTGCAGTCTCTTGCCATCAGAGGTGACCTGTGGGATTTGGTTATGGATCCTGTTGATAAAATCTGTGTATCCTGCTGAGAGGAGGCCATCCTGAGGACACAGAGAATCCAAACACATGGTTATCGTCATCAGAGATAGTGAGGCTACAAACACTAACCATTAAAACAGCATTTGAACATTATTGGCTGTGACGATCTGTGCATCAGATGAAACATAAATCTTCAGGTGCAGCAGATGTGTTGAACATACACATTCATCCAGGACAAGGAAGCGGACTTGGGACAGCGTGAGCTTCCCAGTGGAAATGAGGTCATCCAGTCGGCCGGGGGTTCCCACCACAATGTCGATCTAGTGAACCATGAGGGGAAGACGGGAAAGATTAATGAGGCGTGACAGGGAGAAAGATGTTTTAATAAAAAGTGTGTGGAGAGGTGACATCTCACACACCCCCTGTTCGAGAGCAGCCAGCTGATCCTTGGCAGCCACACCACCGATCACCAGCAGTTCCCTACAGTAACAGATGGATTTAATGAAACACAGAGCACTGACTCCATCTGCTGGTATCAAATTGTTATTACAAATATATTTGTAACGCAGACAAATGTAGTACACAATGAAAGAGTACAACACAGTGGAATACAAAAAGGAATGAGGTTTGTGTCGACCAGTGTCAGAGGCAGCTCTGTATTACCTACCTGAGTTTGGGGTTATCCACATATTTCTGAAAATGTTTGACGTTGTTGAGAGTTTGCTCTGCTAATTCTTTGGATGGCTCGATGATCAGGGCTTTGGGTGCATTGGTTGTTGCTTTCACTTGACTGACTTTAGCAGTGCCTGCACAGACAGAAGAAGGACAGTTACTCAATAAAGGAACTGATCATCAGTCTTCAAAGTGGGATATTATTGTGAAGGGTTTTCAACTCAACATCAAATGGTCACTGATACTTTTAATGGTGATATTTGTGTGCGTGTGTCTTGTTGTGTTGACAGACCTGCCTGAGAGGATTTGACGGAGTGACTCTCTGGTGCCTGATTCAGTGCAACAAACCCACTTTTTGGGGTGTGTTTAAAACTCTCCCCTCCAAAGTTGAACTTAAGTTCTGCATTCTGGCAAACAATAAAAGAAGACATTTTTATAGTGTTTAATACATTGGTTATTTTTTTCAGACCTTGAATTTGAATTGTTCTGTTGTGTTACCTTTAGCACACAGGAGGCAAAGAAGCTCTGACTCCTCAGATTCTGAGGGATCTCAAAAGCCACACCGAGGTCGTTACCTACAAAAAAACCAGAGAGAAAGGGGCATGAACTATAATCTTTTTTATTTACTATCAACTACAGATGTCTACTTAAATAAAATAATGAAAATAAGAACCTCTGAGAACCCACCATTTTTTGAGAAGGACATTTGGCTGTTGTCTAGATCCAGGTAGCATCCAATAGTATCATGCATGGTAAACTCCTGCAAAGGTGCAAGATAACAAAAAGAGACCATGTGTTTTTATGATCTAAATTATCCTCACTTCTGTTTACAGATGTTAACACCACGATCATCCATCAACTGTTACCTCTCCATAACTGTCAAACTGCTTGTTGTTGGATTTCTTTCCAGTTCCTCCAAAACCAAAACCATATTTATCAGTTCCTGTAATGAAATGATTGAATTAGTCTTCTATTGAAAACCATTATTTTAGCTTGCACACTTTACAGCAGGGACAGACAAGTGGAAGAGTTTACCCAGGTCCAGTGCTGCCTGACTGGTGGACCAGCCGACTCGGCACAGACCTTGATCGTGGCAGGCCACCTCGTAATAGTACTTCCCTGGACAACAAAACACACAAACAAGGGTAGGTCACTTTAACAAAGGAAGATATGATCTTTTCATTTTTCTTACTATATCAAATAAAAACTTATTTTTTGTGTGAAATGCATCTAATTCTTGCATTACATACCTTTGGTGACACCTTTTGTAGAGCGACAGCCATGCCACTCTTTAAACTCTCTGCTCTGGCAGCACACTCCATCTGGACCGATTGCTGGAAGGGTAAAAATATAAGGGGACAATGATGAGAGGCGACACAAGAACAAAGCTGGAATATGTGGAGTTGGACTTATAACGGGTTGGACTGTTTTTCAGTGCTCGATTATGACACCACATATTTGATTTACTGCTCTTACCGAAGGCTGGACTGCGGTCGTAAGGATTCATCTGCCAGTTGTTGAAAACTGAAAACACAAAGCAAGTTTAACGTGAGCACGTTTTAGCTGCTCCATCAACCACAGACTGTAAACAAACAAGTCACTGATATTTAAGGTGGTCTCACTGGCTCCTCCGGTCTTCACGGAGGCTCGGCCCTTCTTGCCCTCCTGCTGATCCTTCAGGGTCTCGTACACAATCTGGATCACTGGGATGCTGAAGGCCTAAAGGTGGCAAGTATGACACTTGATCAGGTGTTCAAATACTAATTCATTAACAATTAAACAATATTTCCATTATAACAACCAGTCTGACAGAGATCAAATGTGATGGTTACACCACTGTTGAAACCATGTTTAGATAAGTGCTATACACATTATTATTATTTGTATTATTATTATTAATACAAACTGCACAGGTTAAGGTTTTAACTTACTCCTGTTTTGCCGCTGCCAGTTTCTGCAGCCTGAAAGAAAGAAAGGAGAATAAGATGTTGGAGATGCACTAAGGAAAATCTGCGTCTGAAACAAGGAGATAAAGAGTTCAACTGACCATGAGCACATCTCCTCCACCGAGAATCAGAGGGATGGACTCAGCCTGGATGTCAGTAGGCAGCCTGAAATCCAACCATTCAAAGGAATCAGATAACAAACAACAACAAAGTGAACATATATAAACATTATATAAGAACACTGATTGTCCACGTTCAGCCTGTGTCACTCACAGCCATTCCATCTCCTCCACTGCCTGCGCGATTTCAGGCATGACGCCCATTTCTGTTCAGAAACACACATCCAATGACTCAGTAAAAGTCCTGAGTCTTATAGGTAGTTTCACGTTAAGACAAATATGATGGCGACGCCATTATATTGAACTGAAGGTAGATTTCTTACCAGAAAACGCTGCCATTGCTTCTGCTGCTGCGACTCGACACCACAACCGGAACTAACGTGTTCACAGATTGCGGCTCTGTGCAGCTGCTAAAGAGGACTGGTTCCCTCGAACATTGGTTCCGGACAGCAAACTAGTTCCTTAAAGGGACTTTAAACACGCTTAGCTTCTGGGGCCACGTTAACACTAAATTCCTTATTTTTTAATTTATATAAAATTTTGCGAATCAAAATATGTTTTCAGTGGTAAACCACATTTTCCAAACGCGGTTCCCTGATGGATTTTGACCCCTGCCGACCGCCGTGGACTTTTGACAGCTGCACCAGGTAAACATGGCCGAACAGAGCCTGATTGACAGCGAAGAGGAAAATATTTTATACGACTTACTGGTTATTACTGAATGGCCGCCAGAGACGGACACTCAGGTGAGTCACCCTTGGCCTCTCCCCCGTCTCTAACTCGCTGTGTGGCTCTTGTGTTGATGGTGTATTTGTAAAAATGGCCACCGAAAGTTAACGAGCATCAGCCGCGCAGAGCCACGTAGCACAAAGTTAGCAACCGTAACTTCTCTACACAATCCAATCCTCGTGTTCTCATCTCATGTGTTGTTGTGGGGGAGCTCTCGCTTTATTTGAAGACATGCACGTCTTTCACTTTGTGGTTTTTTTTACAGGACAGCATCCACATGTCTCCCTGTCAGCCTCTCTGACAGGAACGCACCCTCAAGGATGAAATAGATCAATGGAGCCTTTGTTTTCATCCCTTACCAGCACACGTTGCGTCACTGTAACTGTATTTGTTTGAGTGATAAACCAACCTGTCTCTTTCCAACACGTGCAGGTGCGAGGCAACAAGGAGCACAACACTTCCCTCGTTGCTAAAGCTGTGACAGGTGAGTTCTGGTTGTTTTCTATGATCAACATCACAAAATGCTCTCAGCGCCTGACCGTGGCCATGGATTTGAGTCACCTGCTTAAAGTGCAGAGCGTTTCCAGTCTTTTTACATTCATTCACACACATATTCATCCAGTGCTTATGGTGGCAGAGAGAGCTCAACACACTGCAAATTAAGAAAACACATGCAAATAGAAAACAACACGGGCAGATTAAGAAAACTACTTCATCAACTTGAAGACACATGCGCTGCAAAAATGTCAGAATGAATGAAAATACAGAAAGGAGCAGAAAATAGAGCATTGAAATCTTAAGGGGACCTAGTGATGTAGCTGGCTGTAGTTCAATGCTTTGTGATCACCACTGACCAGTAGTAGATTTCTGGAAAGGTGTGAAGGTGTTCCAACTAATTCTGAAATCAAAGCATAGGATAGCACAACTTCTTGTTAAAAAATGTGTGTGCATGAATCACCAGGTAAAGAAATGATCCACTTTTAATCACCCACTTTTAGACAGCTCTGTCTGCAGGATATGACAACCTGCAATTACATGATTTATAAGTTATGCAAGTGCGAGTGTTTGAAAAAATTTTTCCTCGTGAATTCTATAGTAGTTTGTCCCAGATCTGTTGATGAGTGGTTGTTAGGTCAGGGTGAAGAGAGAAATGTTCATGTCCTGCTTGTCCTTGACCAAGACACTGAATCTGATCCCTCAGCAGCTTCACTTTATATTATCCCTTAGTCTCTGGTCTGATCTTACTTTAGAATGTGACAAAAGATTGATATGCACTGATTAAAAAAAATAAGACATCATCACACATTTACCAAGACTCTGCATGCTGACTAACTGTGATTCATTTCTTACAGGGCCGTTCCGCTTAATTCTGCACTACTTATGGTACAGGTGAGCTCACCATCATTATTCTAACACCAGAGGCTGACAGACAGTGACATGCGTTTATTCAGCCAATATAATGGAGGGACATACCATAACAGGCTGTGTGATATTATATATGGCTCAATACATTCGACTAAAGCAACATGAAAGCATAACTATTACTTAAATATGTATGATTTGCACATTTATATACAATTTAGCTTGCTTATGTATCCAGAAATCTTATTGCAAGAATATCTAAGTACTAAGTCCAGCTGCTACTCAAAAATGATTGAAAAGTAATAAAATCTGTAGTTTAAAATTCTGTGTTATAAAGTTGAAAATTGTTGTTAAAGCTGATCTCTATCACATCAAATCTACTGCACTAAACTTGCACCAAAGCTATCTTTTATTCGATAAGTTAATATCTTCAGATTTTTTAAATCATTCATATCAGCATGAACCTAAAAAAACACTGACCTTGTTCACTGTGCTCTCACTGCACAGTATCTGATGTAACGTGTTGGATGTGGCCGGCAGTGGACTGTGTAATTCTCTGCAGAATCAAGGCCTACTTATCCTCTCAGCAGGTGGTTAGCTTGTACCATCAATAACCTTGTTAAATATTTAAAGACTCCTCTAGCCATGCTTGTTTCTCAGCTCTTCCCTTTCGCTGGATAAAATAAGAATCAGGGGTTTTATTCGATATAACTGAAGAGAGTTGGCAGACTGCCCCCCCACCACATGTTGTGACATTTATTTGTTGAAGTTGGAGAAGTGTCGAGCAATTATATCATTTTTATGATTCTATATAGTATATTTATGTCAAACAGCAGCCATCTTGGTTACTATTCTACAGCATCATGATTTACTGGTACGAACTATTGTCTTTTATTAAAAAGTTAAATGATTCACAAACAGTAATGAAATGAAAAACACACTGTAACTTAAAGGTTTTGTGTCTAATGAGAATAACCTTGTTTCAAACAACCTATTGGAGTAGGAGAAAGCTTAAAAACCTAAAATACTGTATGAAGCAGAAATTATATACGTGCAACAGTGAAGTTTACTGAATGTGATGGACATATGAAATTGATAATAATTACATCTGAAAGAATCACTG